TGTGAACCACATATAAAGTTATCTAAAAGTTGACAGCTGTACACGGTCTAGGAAGTCATCTAATAGTTGATGATAGCTGTACACCACACACAAAGTTATCTAAAAGTTGATGAAAGCTGTTTATGCCATGAGGAGAGTATGCTGGTACTTACAACGTATGGGATCTTTGCTGCCCTGAGGTAGGTGGCTAACTTGATGACAAACGGTGAGATACTGGGAACTGTCAGAGCCTTGCCGTACTGGTGGAGAACCACTGTGTCCTTGGCGGTGTTGGCTGTCAGGAAGCTGATGACAGAACAGTGCAACCAATGGAAGGTCTGGCAATTTGGTTTTAAAAAAAAAGGCAGTATGGCTGGGCAAGCACATTTTATAGTCATATTAATCAATTGATCTCTTCCACACACCAGGTCCTCAATCACTGGGTCTCTTCCACACACCAGGTCCTCAATCACTGGGTCTCTCCACACACCAGGTCCTCAATCACTGGGTCTCTTCCACACACCAGGTCCTCAATCACTGGGTCTCTTCCACACACCAGGTCCTCAATCACTGGGTCTCTTCACACACCAGATCCTCAATCACTGGGTCTCTTCCACACACCAGGTCCTAAATCACTAGGTCTCTTCCACACACCAGGCCATCAATCACTGGGTCTCTTCCACACACCAGGTCCTCAATCACTGGGTCTCTTCCACACACCAGGTCGTCAATCACTGGGTCTCTTCCACACACCAGGTCCTCAATCACTGGGTCTCTTCCACACACCAGGTCCTCAATCACTGTGTCTCTTCCACACACCAGGTCCTCAATCACTGGGTCTCTTCCACACACCAGGTCCTCAATCACTGGGTCTCTTCCACACACCAGGTCGTCAATCACTGGGTCTCTTCACACACCAGGTCCTCAATCACTGGGTCTCTTCCACACACCAGGTCGTCAATCACTAGGTCTCTTTCACACACCAGGTCTTCAATCACTGGGTCTCTTCCACACACCAGGTCCTCAATCACTGGGTCTCTTCCACAACCAGGTCCTCAATCACTAGGTCTCTTCCACACACCAGGTCCTCAATCACTGGGTCTCTTCCAGAGACCAGGTCGTCAGTCATAAACCTGAACAAGCGTTTAAGTGGCAACAGAAAAGGTAAGGTCAGTAAAACGTCCACGTGACTTCAGGAGCCACTCACTCTACTTCCCCATTCCGCTGCCGCTAATGTCAAGCTGCACCTCCATTGTGCAAGCGCCGGTTTCCGATTCAGCATTTACACATAACATAAACAAAGGGAAGCCACCATCTGTTGAAGGCAGGGCTGTCGAAGATTGTGCTTTCCAATAGATTCGGTACTACCTGACCCTGGCTAAGTAAAACTATACTTTTTGGTAGCACGCCTAATGTTTTGGTACGTTTTATAAATGTTATATCAGTATTGGTAATGTCGGCAATGTACGCTGGATCCAGTCAGTGTTACTGAAGGAAGATAGCCTATTTACGTCATAGGACCATGGACCTCAGAATATCCTAGTCTGGTTGAAGAAGAATACAAACAAACAAACAGAGATTGGAGGAAATTAGTAGTGGAGACTAAACGGCTAATACTTGAAGGACACAGACCAGAATAATGGTAGTCCACAATTTGAGAAGAGAAATGTGATGAACATCGATTTCCGTTCACAGTAAAAATGTACAGAATAATATTTTGACATAGTCTTCAGAAGCTGTAACAATATTACAATTTAGAAATGGCTTTCCATTACAGATTGTAGAATAAATGTATTCATGGGGTCAAAGTTCTTGCTCCAAGACATTTACTGCAGCCACTTAAGGTTGCCATAACAGATTTGTAACAATCAGTACAACCAAAATATATTGTACACCTATGATGTAATGACCGAAGTACTTTAATTCTGATCAAACAGACAATCAAAAATATATACATATACATAAGTGTATATAGATATGTCAGAGTGTGGGTATGTGTGTGCGTGCGTGTATATTTGTAGGATTTTGTAATGGTGTTTCAATTATAATTAACAATTTGGTACTTTTCGCTATGTTCTGGCAGTTAACAAAAAGTGAAAGTACTCAAAATAATTTCGGCAGCCCTGGTTGAACGTGGAGTTGAAACCTGCACGTGACGTCTGATATTTAGCAGGCGGAAATATAAAGTTCTACCGGCGGTGTCAGGATGCAGAGCTAAGCTCTAAACCGTCACCATCGGTTGGAGGCAGTGCTGTGTACATTCGCCAGGTCTAACCGTATACTTTACATACCGACATGTTTACACACCTCAACTGGCAGCCTTCACATACTATAAAGAGAATCGAATGATGTCCGGAGACCAGTTTTCTTTCTGTCAATTCTAACTATGATATCCAGTATTTACTTGTGAAACTGGGTGGATGCGAGACATGAGCTTGTGTGTAGATAGAACACCTACAGTAGCAATGAATTATGGGATCTACACATTAGGATTAATGACTCCAGTGATCTACAGACTCAGACAACTACTATTACCAAACATGTTTAATTGGATGAAGAAACACCTAATGCAATCAATCGAACCAAGTATTGGAACAATGAGACCTACCTATAACAGCGCAAGAAAAGTATTGGAACAATGAGAACCCACCTCTGACAGCACAAGACAATCTCCAATAAGCACAAAGAAACATCTCATACAAACTATGTTCCCTTCCACCCAGTGTTACCAGTACAAGACACTCCCACCCAGTGTTACCAGTACAACACACTCCCACCCAGTGTTACCAGTACAAGACAGTCACACCCTGTGTTACCAGTACAAGACACTCCCACCCAGTGTTACCAGTACAACACACTCCCACCCAGTGTTACCAGTACAAGACAGTCACACCCTGTGTTACCAGTACAACACACTCCCACCCAGTGTTACCAGTACAAGACAGTCACACCCTGTGTTACCAGTACAAGACACTCCCACCCAGTGTTACCAGTACAACACACTCCCACCCAGTGTTACCAGTACAAGACAGTCCCGTCCAGTGTTACCAGTACAAGACAGTCCCACCCAGTGTTACCAGTACAAGACAGTCCCGCCCAGTGTTACCAGTACAAGACAGTCCCGCCCAGTGTTACCAGTACAAGACACTCCCACCCAGTGTTACCAGTACAAGACACTCCCACCCAGTGTTACCAGTACAAGACACTCCCACCCAGTGTTACCAGTACAAGACACTCCCACCCAGTGTTACCAGTACAAGACACTCCCACCCAGTGTTACGAGTGTAAGACACTCCCACCCTGTGTTACCAGTACAAGACACTCCCACCCTGTGTTACCAGTGTAAGACACTTCCACCCTGTGCTACCAGTACAAGACACTCCCACCCTGTGTTACCAGTGTAAGACACTCCCACCATGTGTTACCAGTACAAGACAGTCCCACCCAGTGTTACCAGTGTAAGACACTCCCACCCAGTGTTACCAGTACAAGACAGTCCCACCCAGTGTTACCAGTACAAGACAGTCCCACCCAGAGTTACCAGTACAAGACAGTCCCACCCAGTGTTACCAGTGTAAGACAGTCCCATCCAGTGTTACCAGTACAAGACAGTCCCACCCTGTGCTACCAGTACAAGACAGTCCCACCCTGTGTTACCAGTACAAGACAGTCCCGCCCAGTGTTACCAGTACAAGACACTCCCACCCAGTGTTACCAGTACAAGACAGTCCCGCCCAGTGTTACCAGTACAAGACAGTCCCACTCTGTGTTACCAGTACAAGACACTCCCACCCTGTGTTACCAGTACAAGACACTCCCACCCAGTGTTACCAGTACAAGACAGTCCCACCCAGTGTTACCAGTGTAAGACACTCCCACCCTGTGTTACCAATACAGTCCCACCCAGTGTTACCAGTGTAAGACACTCCCACCCAGTGTTACCAGTACAAGACAGTCCCGCACAGTGTAACCAGTGTAAGAAGTCCCGCCCAGTGTAACCAGTGTAAGACAGTCCCGCCCAGTGTAACCAGTGTAAGACAGTCCCGCCCAGTGTAACCAGTGTAAGACAGTCCCGTCCAGTGTAACCAGTGTAAGACAGTCCCGCCCAGAGTTACCAGTGTAAGACAGTCCCGCCCAGTGTAACCAGTGTAAGACAGTCCCGCCCAGAGTTACCAGTGTAAGACAGTCCCGCCCAGTCGTAGGTTCGGGTCCCGACGGTGCGAGACTTTTTAAAAAAAAAAAGACTTCGGCTGTCAGGTCGACAAAGCCTTGAGCAGGTACCAGGTACAGGGCTGTGATACTAAAAACATCACTTACAAAGCTACGGTCTATAAACAGGTCTCGCCCTATATACCCAAAACGCTCGAAAGCGTTGAAAAGCGACCTTTTAACGTCGACCGTAAGACCCAAGATGATTGACTTAGTGAAATTTAGAGAATTCTTTCCATTAACCATAGTGAAACTTGGGGAATTCCTTTCATTAACCACAACGAGACTTGGGGAATTCTTTCCATTAGCCACAGCGAGACTTGGGGAATTCTTTCCCTTAACCACAGCGAGACTTCGGGAATTCTTTCCATTAACCACAGCGAGACTTAGATAATTCTTTCTATTAACCACAGCGAGACTTGGGGAATTCTTTCCATTAACCACAGCAAGACTTAGGGATTTCTTTCCATTAACCACAGCGAGACTTGGGAAATTCTTTCCATTAACCACAGTGAGACTTCGGGAATTCTTTCCATTAACCACAGCGAGACTTAGGGAATTCTTTCTATTAACCATGGCAAGACTTAGGGAATTCTTTCCATTAACCATGGCGAGACTTAGGTAATTCTTTCCATTAACCATGGCGAGACTTAGGGAATTCTTTCCATTACCCATGGCAAGACTTAAGGAATTATTTCCATTAACAACAGAGAGACTTGGGGAATTCTTTCCATTAACCACAGCTATACCAAAAAGTGAAGACTGCCTTATAAATGACGACGACTGACGACAACAATCAATAACTATCATACCTTTGCTGGGAGCGGGATCGCCACCTCCAGATGATGTAAGTGACGCCCAGCAAAACCCCACAGGTGGCAGCAGCTTCCATAGCCGTTGGCGTCACACTGAGCTGGGCCAGGTGAATCATCCTCGGGAGAGAGATCTGTTAATCTGTGGACAGACAAGTTACCCAGTCTCAGCTACTG